GTTCAGCAGACAGCATCTTTCAACTGTAATGCAGCCTTTTAGGCTGCAGCGTTTATTACAACTTTAAAGATGCATCAGCCAGCATCCTAATTTACATCTGCTTTTATCTCAGAACATTGCTGTCAGTGTGGCCACCCAGTTCTATTTCAGGCGCTGCTTCTGTTCACTGAACCCATCATGACAAATCACACAGAGCTGTGAACTTGGTGAATCATTCCAACAGTCACAGCATCATGTGTCACGGGTGGCTGGCTGCAGCTGGGGCTCGTTGTTCGGCCTCATCATCAAACCAGTTGATCAGTCATGACCACGTCAACTGAGAATGAACTGGATCTGATCATGGCAGATACTGTTTCCAAGCTGAAAATTGCTGTATGGAGGGTTGAAACCTTTATTTCTTTCTCCCTCAGCTGTCTGTTTGTGTCTAAGTGGCTGTCGAAGACTGTCTCAGCTGGCAGAGTTACCAGAGACTCATCAGATACTGAGGCAGACCTGCAGAGACTACGCTGACAGGGAGCTGACCCCCATCGCTGCCAGACTCGACAAAGAGCACACGTTCCCCACCAAACAGGTACAAAACCCTGAAAATGAGGAGACTATATATAAATATTGGTGTATTTCCTAAATGGTTAAAGCAATATGTTTGTTAAACCCCTTAAATTAAAGCAGAAAGTCCACACTTCAGTAACATCTTGATTGCTTCTTTTCAGATCCACTGTGGTGGTGTACAGAGGCAAAACTAGGAAAATTGTGTCACTGTTCAAATGCTTATGAACCTCCATCCATTATCTATACTGCTTATTCCTGAACAGGGTCGTGGGGGCTGGAGTCAGTCCCAGCTGACATTGGGCGAGGAGCAGGGTCCACCCTAGACAGATCGCCAGTCTATCACAGGGCTGACATGTAGACAAACAACCACACATACTCACACACATTCCTACAGGAATTTAGAGTCGCCAGTCAACCTAAGCTGCATGTCTTTGGACTGTGGGAGGAAGCTGAAGTACCCGGACAGAACCCATGCAGGCACAGGGAGAACATGCAAACTCCACACAGAAAAGCCCCTGGTCTTCTGTGAGGTGACAGCACTAACCACAACAAACAGTAGACAGGGCCAGTCAGAGACCAGCTGGTGAACACAGTGGAGCATTTAGCAGCTCCAGAGCCAGAGGTTTCCCTCAGAAGGTGGTGGAGACCAAACACAGAGCAAACAGAGAGGCAGCACTGGGCTGAAGCTCATCAGGGGGGACAATGACACACTGTGCACGGAGGAGCATGTCCATCTGTAGCTGCTGGAGGTGGAAGTGGAAATAATCAGCTGGCTTGGCTAGAAAGTGTTGTGTCCACATGCAGTGTTGTGTTTTCACTGCGTCCAAGTGGCCAAAAGTCAATTATTGGTGGTTTAAACTAAGCACCAGACACATTACTGTCAATGCTCTCGCACTTCTCCAGATTCACGAGTTGGGGGCGATGGGGTTGATGGCCATGGAGGTACCAGAGGAGCTGGGTGGAGCCGGGATGGACTACCTGGCGTACAGTCTGGCTGTGGAGGAAATCAGCCGAGGCTGCGCCAGCACCGGGGTGGTGGTCTCTGTTAACAATGTGAGCTCACACTGGCATCTTTAAGGGACTTTATAAACGCATCAAAGTGCAGGTGTTCATTCACCTGTTGTGGTCTGTGATTCTGTTCTCAGTCTCTTTACATCGGACCGATTTTGAAGTTTGGTACAGAAGAGCAGAAAAAGCAGTGGATCACTCCGTTCACCACCGGAGAGAAGGTGGGCTGCTTCGCCCTCAGTGAGCCAGGTAAATGTGACGCCACACACATGCACCTGGATAGAGTCTCTACCTGTCATTGTGCCACCAAAATAAAGGTTTCCTACTAGTAACTCCCAAGTCTTTAACTTCGAAGAACTCAGGAGCAGAGCTACAGTTAGGTGGTCATTTATTTAACCAAACATTCATTGGTTTGAGCTTCTTTTCTCTGTTTTTTTATCCTTGTAAAATGAATATCTTTAGGTTTCAGACAAAACATTTAAAGATGTCTGGCAAATTCAAATACTATTTTTCACTTCTTTAACAAAATATAGACAAAACGAGTTTAGAAAATAATCAGTCATCATTTGACTGGGGTTGGCCATACTGTCAAATTACCAGTAATTTCCATCTGGATGAAAATAGAAATTCAAGAAATGTAACAAATGCTTCTGGAAGGAATCAGCAACCTGCCCTTTACCACTGCAGGGAGGAGTTGTTCAAATAGAAACATCTGCAATGTGCTGGTAGGCTTGTGGTCGTAAGCCTTCCCCAAATTCTCCTTCTCTAAATGAAGCGATTTAATAAAAATTGCAGGTAATGGCAGTGATGCAGGTGCAGCCTCCACCGTGGCTCGTCAGGAGGGAGATGAGTGGGTGCTGAATGGAACCAAAGCCTGGATCACCAACTGCTGGGATGCCTCCGCCACTGTTGTGTTTGCCACCACAGACAAGAAACTCAAACACAAGGCATGACATGACACACCGAAGAGAGGGAGAGCGGCTTGTTCTGTTGAGCAGTACAACTGCAACGGTCACTCGCTTTCTGTGTCTGCAGGGTATCAGCACATTCCTGATCCCCATGCCACACCCAGGGCTTTCTCTGGGGAAGAAGGAGGATAAACTGGGCATCAGAGCCTCATCAACAGCGAACATAATCCTGGAGGACTGCAGGATACCGCTGGACAACATGTTGGGCCCTCGTGGTGCTGGATTCAAGATCGCCATGGTATTCTAAAGCATTTCATTCACTGTTACATGGAAGCTGCCTTTACATGAAGCCTGATATTCCACTTCCATTACTAAATAAGTGTTGAATCGAGCTAAAAACCCTCTAAATAAATAAATCCTGTAACAGCTTGTTCAACAAACAAAAGGTGTTAAGTAAACAGTCCTGTTTAGTATAATGTCCTGAATATCCACTTCCTCCTTTCTCTCCTTGTCTAAATGAGCAGCTTGCTTTTCCTGTTTATCCACTGCAGGAGTAATAAAACTGATTTATATTCAGATCACATTTAAATAAAATGGCCTGGAAACTCACCACAGCCTCTACGTTCACCTCTTATCTCGATAATGTGCATTTCTGCAGCATTAGTTCCATTAGTACGACACCGGTGTCGTGTTCTAGTCACAGCTCTGCTTTCACTTTATCTTTTTAACATAACTGTTGCATCCGTTTGCCATGATGCTGCTTTTTCATTCATTTACCATCAGTGGTGCCTAAAGCTTCCTAACATTGAATTTTCACAGTCAGAACCTTTCAGCAGCTCAAAGTAAGGATAACCCATTTGTTTTTGTTTTTTTTTAAAGAGAGTGTATTTGGTCTTTCCCTTTACTGGGCAAAGACGGTGTTAGACAGACAGGAAACACTGGAAGAGAGTCGGCCAGTCCACTGCTGCTACTGGACCAGGGAACCCCGGAAGCACAGTCTGACCTTTTCCCAATTGGCATTTGGTTGAAATTCATTGTAATTTGTGTAAGAAGTGTCACATTTCAAATACAGTAACTTGAAATAGAAAACAAGAGGCACATCTGTGTTGTATTGATGAGATTAGCTCTGTGGAAATGTACATCATGTGTATTGATCTACTACATGAGCTGCGCGTCCTGGTGGCTCCTCCTCCTTCTTACTGTTTTTACTCTGCCTTTATTAGTGACCAGACTTCTGTTGAATTGAACTAAATGTTCTGAAACTGAACTTGTCAACATACTGTATCACAAAACACAAACTCTTACTAAGCACTGCTGGAACACTCTTGCAGATCAGTATCCATTGTAAGTTAACGTCTTTGTGTCTCGCAGCAAACCCTGGACAGTGGACGGATCGGCATCGCCTCTCAGGCTCTTGGCATTGCGCAGGCTTCTCTGGACTGCGCTGCAGACTACGCACTCAAGCGCAATGCGTTCGGAGCCCCCATCAGCAAACTGCAGGCCATACAGGTGACATGACCACTAACAGAGCAGCTGAGGCGGGAGTTGACCTGTACAGTGGGGCCTTAGTACACGTTTCCTACAGTGCAACCCAATAGAAAGTGTGTTACACACTGGACATGTGCAGTTTAAAACACGGTCACAGCAGACAGTGTGGCAGGGAGCACTAATGAGAAAGGTGGCATTCATCAACCCCCTTTGATGAATTTGCTGTCAACAGAATCATCGTTGCAGTGCTGACTGAGCGTTCTTCCCACTGTCTAGTTCAAACTGGCTGACATGGCTCTGGCAGTAGAGAGCGCTCGGCTGCTCACCTGGAAGGCTTCGCTTCTTCGAGATTCAAAGAAACCCTTCACCAAGGTACGCAGTCGCCTCTGATTCAGCAAGTTTGAGTTTTACACTACATCACACTCCAGCCTTCTCTTCCTGCAGGAGGCAGCTATGGCCAAACTAGCAGCGTCTGAAGCCGCCACGTTCTGCTCACATCAGGTAAGAGACCAACAGGAGAGTCTAAAAATACTGAAACACCCTTCCAGACAACGCCCTTATTTCACTTGTTTGCTCTTTCAATCAGGCGATCCAGATCCTGGGCGGGATGGGTTACGTGACGGACATGCCTGCTGAGAGGCACTACCGCGATGCTCGCATTACAGAGATCTATGAGGGAACCAGTGAGATCCAGAGACTGGTTATTGCAGGCCAGTTACTGAAGGAATACCAGTCATAGACACATTTTTGCCTTTGGCACCATATGGACAGATCTGAGATGTCACCTAATCCATAAACACAGTGAAGTCAGGCTGGATCAAATTCGACATGAGCTAAGGTGCAGCTGTTTTAAGCAGCAGGTCTGTGAGACGACGCTACAGATGTTCAGAGGGAATTCAGGTGATTTTACATTTTACATTACCTCCGGTGTTCAACAGAAGTTAGGACTGCATGTTAAACTCTGTACGATAAATATCTACCGCCAGTTTAAAGGGTCAGTTCACTTGGAATTTATGCAGAATGTTTTGCTGTTCTGTGTTTTTTTTTATCTCAACCTTTGACAACCTCTGTGTTTCTTGGTGCCCAAAGAACTTTAAAAAAGATACTGAAAGATTGAAAAGCACCTTGTTTTACAGAAAATATGGAACTCTTTAATTAATTTAATAACTGGTGTTTAAAGGTCATAAGGTGGGAATGATAAAATCTATATTGGCACCATTTTTCTATTTCTCATTACTGGATGACAGGTCAGATGCAGGAGATCAGTTTGCATCTCGTCACAGACCTGCAGCTAACGCTTACCTTCTTATTAGCTGCAACCACAACCTTTATCTAAATGAACCAACCAACGATACCATACTTTTACTTTACTGAAAAACACCACCGAGGGGGATAAATATCTCTGGCTCAACACCAGTCAGTCAGACCTGAAGACGCCTCTTGGATGAGAGGTGAAAAGTCTTCGACCTAGAAACCTAGTCTAACCTAAGTTTTTTCAGTTTACTATGACCTGGATGACTGAGAATCTGCACAGACATACTTTTACTTTAATTCAGTTTTGTTTGTATAGCGCCAAATCACAACTAAAGTCATCTCAGGACACTTTACAACATAAGGTCTAGACATTATTATTATTATTATATAGGGGAAACCCAAGAGCAGCACTTGGCGACAGCGGGGAGGTAAAACTCCCTTTAAAAAGAAGAAACCTCCGACAGACCCCGGCTCTTGGTGGGCGGCCTTCTGCCTCGACCGGTTGGGGTGAGTGGATAGAGGAGAGAGAGAAGAAGGAAAGCAACAAGACACAACAAACAATCAAACACTGATCAGGTCGATGTGGCTGGTGACTGTCTTAAGTATTTTCCTAACTATGACCACACTGTAGTCGCTTGTGCTCAGGTACTGTAGAAAAAAAAATCCAACATCAGCTTCTTAAAGTGTGTTACTTTATTATCTGTAACAACCCCATTATCATCTCAGCATTGGTTTATCAGATGTTTACTATTTTATAATCATCCCAATGTACAGAATACATTTCCACACTTAGTTTTTATGTTTTGTGATTTGGGTGAACTGACCCTTTTAGATCATGACTTTGTCCTGACGCCGTTTCCAAACACCGACATGAGGATAAACGTTTTATCTCGTTTTTAAAATCGGTCTGTTTCCTATGAGGAGTTTTAACCACCAGGGGGCGACAGTGTGCTGCAGTCACGTGACTCACTTGGACTTCTACACTAATCACAATGATCAGAGTGCACAGGTTGTTGACTATAGTTTTATTAATTGATCTTGTGGTGGAGAGTGAGAGTTGATACTTGAACAATGAAGATGAAATGTGTGATATCTGTTGACCCAAACATTCAAGGTGATTGATCCCTGTGTAATATTTTATTGTGGCAGGATTCACAGCCCTCTTGTGACTCTAACTTGTACATATTTTATTGTAATTTACTGTGTGAAAATGACAAAAACATGAATTAAAGTACTGTGAGGATGCACAGACAAATTCTGGGTTTTATTTTGACATGTTAAAGCTACTTTATTAGCACAGTGTGTTATTATATGTAGTAAGTCCTGCAGTGTTCAGCCAGTGTTCTACTGGGTGTATAGGGTCACGGGCCGAACCATCAGTACAAGGAAAACAGCCACTGATAAATGTCTTTCTGCTGACAACTTGTTCTAACAAGTGTATTAGACGTATTTTAGTTTCTTTGAAAGTTAAATGCAGGTGGATTTGTAAAGACTTGGTGCAAAGAGGCGCTGGACTGTTACCTGCTGCTTATCTGGGCCAGGTATCATCCATTTCATTAATTATATAGAAGGTATTGTTACACTTTGCTGCAAAAGATCCATAATAATTCATCTATAAATAACAAGGACGGCCAGTAAAAAGGCTGCTTCTTCTTTATTGTGACTAGAAAAATGGCATGAAGTATAAAACATAGTACATGTATTCAAATGCAGATTCCCTGCGTAAATCACATGAGTGCACGCTACATGTTCACTGTGGGAAACAATCTCAAAGCAAACTTAGTCCAGTAGGTGGAAAAACTAAGCACAAAGACGCTCTGCAGCCTTTCAGAGGCCCCAGACTGAGTCTGGACACTTGACTGGATTATGAAACGTGTGCCAACAAACTTCAGTCTCTAATCAGTCTTTCAACTGTTTTTATTTATGAGCAGTTGAATTTAATAACCTGACTCCTCGGACTTGATGTGACGTGGCCTTGAGGCGCTACAAGATTAAGCCACTTAGGAGCAAAACTAAACTAGTTCTGTCGGACAAATACTTAACAGTCACATTCAGTTCACGGTTACAACAGTTACAGCCACTTGGTCTTCACAGTTTCAGTGTCAGCTTCTTTTGGCACACATCACCAGACTAGAACAGCAGAAATGGCGGCGGTGCGTCAGCTCTGCCCCACAACAACGTCCAGTGTAGAACCGGACTTGCAGTTTATACATAAAGCCTCTTGTCAAAGTCGTCGCTGCCTGTGATCTTGGTGGGAGTGTATTTAATGGCAGAACCGCCTCTCACTCCTTTGGAAAAGGAGCAGCACAGCAGGGTCCCCCCGAGCAGCAGCAGCGCGGTGGCCGCCCAGCCGACGTAGATCGCCGCCCCGATCTCCCTCTTCTTGGACGGAGGCACCTGGGGGTCGTAGAAGTCCACGATGATGTTGTTGGCCATCCAGCAGAGCGGGACCAGCACGAGCAGGCCGCTGACGATGTGGATGACCCCTCCGGCATTCACCACTTTGGCCTTCACTGCCTCCTCCTTGATGCAGTTGGTGCACTGCGCCCCGGCGACCGTCACCGTGAGGGCGACGACCCCCACCACGGCGGAGATGACCGTCAGCGCCCGGGCCGTCTGCAGGTCCTGCGTCAGGGCCAGGACCGAGTCGTGGAATTTGCATTGCATCTGACCGGTGCTCTGCACCACGCAGGACATCCACAGGCCGTCCCAGATGGTCTGAGCCACCACGATGTTGGCGTCGATGAAAGCGGTCACCTTCCACATCGGCAGACCACAGGCGACCATCACCAGCAGCGAGCCCGTGACGCATAGCGCCAAGCCGAGGATCTCCAGACACGCAGAAAGCATAGCTCTGTTAGTACAGCTATATATACCTGATGCTAACTATGTGAGCAGTGAGGTAAAACGGGTTCTGACTTCAGCTGTCTCGTCTCGATTTCTCCGACCACTGACTGTTTGCGCGCTGAGTCTTTTCATTTATGGCTCCACCTGACCTGACGCTGCTGCTGCGTCCCCATCACAACAAAACCCAGAAGCTTTCAGCCAATCAGAAGTACATGCGCTTTTGTCTCATCCAATGAGGGCATCTCACACGCGCACGTGTACATGCGTGCGCACTGTTTTGCGCTGGAGCGGGTCAGACCTGTGGTGCCTTCCTGTAATTCAGTTTGCAGGACGCGGTGGGAAGGAAAGCAAAACGAGAAGCTGACAGCTGCTTAAATATATGTGGAGGTTTAGTACAAGCTGTGTCTGCAAACCGCTAATGTAGGCTGAGGGAATGAATTTATGTTTTCTGACCTAACATTTCATGTACATTTAAATTTTGAGTGCTCTGAACGTTTTGTTTACAGCTGTTAGTAATAAAATGAACAGATCAGGGCTGTTTATGTAAAGGTAAAGACTGGGCTTTACTTTGAGCATCAGGCCAGAGCACATCAGCACTGATAAGAGAAGCTTAGGCACCAGGAGCAAAGCATGCTGGGACATTAGAGGCTACTTCCTGTTCAGATGATAAATGAGATCACATCCCCACTTGATTTGTCTTTATCATCTTCTTCATGGAAACTGGCCGGTTTGAGAGCAGTATCCTGTGCGTGTTTGTGATCACAGCGTGCTGATAAAAGCTGCACCACGTGAAGGACGCTCAGTATCCATCTTTCAGTTTTAATCATGACGTTTAGCCATGGGCCTGTGGAGTACTGAACACCTCTGAATGCATTCATACTGTCCAGAGTCAGGACAGAGCAGTAGGTGTTGGTGCAGTGTGGACATCATCACGCCAACAAACAACATTCCTTCAGCAAAACACAATCAGCTCTCCATCTGGAAAGCTCGTTATTTTGCAAGCACATGAAAGGGAATAATCCATGATGTCACGTAGTAGGCAAGAGGGTTGTGAAAACTGCTCCCGACGGCTCAGTAACTGGAGGCCAGTTCAGATCAGACTGTGGTCGCTGCCAGCAGAATGACAACTGTGTGTGTGCGTGCATGCACAGCTCCATGCATGTCCTCACAGAGCCAGGTGCTTCCTCCTCTTTTTCAATGGCTGAGTGTTTACAGTTACACAAAATACTTCCAGCTCCTGCTGTTCAGTTCCTGTTGAGGTCCTGGAGATGTACTGTCTGCACAGCGAAGCAACGCCGTGTGAAGACAATCCCAACAAAACCAAATAAACAAAAACATAACCAACAGATGGAGGTGTTGGACTCTGGCAAGTGTTTACCAGAGGTGAAAGTAACTTGACTAAGCTTAACTCGGCTCCACTTCGCTGACCTCCAGCTGCAGCTGAACCTCATCTCACTTTGCTTTATTTCACGTAACATGGCCCCAAATCCAACTCAAACTTCAGTTTTATTTAACTTTTTTCACTGACCTCAGCTCAGTTCCAACCTCAACTTTCAAACTCCAACTCCAAACTCTGGACTTGGCTCAGATCCACCTGCAACTCTTCACTTTACTGAACCGAACTGAACTCAGTTCAGCTTCGCCTCCAGCTCCATGTCACTTCAGTTCACCTCACTTTACTCTGCCTTACTTAGCTCAGCTCCAACTCCGCTGCACTCACAGCTCAGTTCAGTTCCACTTCCCTTCCCTTCAGCTTACCTCAGTCGGTTCGGCGCTGATTCAGCTCAGCTTCACACGGTTTTACTTCACTGAACTCAGCTCAGCTTCACGTTCAACACCAGCTCCACACTGCAACACAACTCCTGGCTAAAGGGCCTGGACACTGGCTGTCTTTATGCTGACATGCTAATTGCTCTGCAGCGAGTGTATGAGAACACACTGTACTGATTCGATATGTGCACTGATTATGCCTGACATTTGAAATAAGGGACATGTCTGATCAGTTTCAACAACCATCTTCTTTTTATGACTTTATTTTCTTTTGTCTTGGTTGTAATTAGTTGTGTTTGTGCGAGGTGCCAGCTGCAGGGCTTCCAGGTGATGTGTTAGCAGCGGGTGGGAGGGCTGACATGCAGCGGTGTTGGGATGTCCGGGCTCCTATCACTCCCCCTTGACACCATTGTTCTCTGAGCTGCTGGCAGTATTCTCCTCCTCCTTTTCCACATCAGCTCTTTTTATTATCCACAGTGAAATGTCACCTGGCGCTGGGAGGGATGTGAGGCCTCGGTGTGTTGTTGTGTTGTACCTTTTGTCTGGGACCACTATCGGAGATATTTTTAGTATTAGTTGGTGTCTGTGTGACCTTTTTGATCTGTCGTGTCCTGTGTCAGCAGCAGCGCAGCAGGATTACACACAATACTACAGTCCTGGAGTCGTGTAGAAGAAACTGTCTTACAGGTGGCCCTGACCAAACATTCTTCTTTAGTGTTTACTACTACAACACACAATGGTTTGTGAGTCAACATTCACTCCTGTGCTGAAGGTGACTCACTCCTTCTGTATTTCTTTCACCGCAGCCGACCGTGTGTCATAGGTGGTGACGCTACAGCAAAAATAAAAGGTTGCTGTCACACCGCTGGAATGTCACCGGAATACAGGTGAAACTAATGGACACACACAAAGCAGCTGTGACAACACAAACAGAAGGTCCTTGTTGTGTTGTACCTGCACGTTTCCCACTGCTGTATACATCTTGTTTTGTGTATGTAGCGTTACAGGTGGTGGCGGTGGTGGGGACTAACAGTGTCGGCTTCAGATTTGGTCAGGTGATGCTTTCTGCTTTCTTGGTTTACTAAAGTCCTGAAACATTAAGGTCATTTCCAGCCAAATGTTTCTATGTGCATTTTCAAATTCAGATATAAATTCTAAATAGAGCATAAAACCAAAATGTGACAACGTGCTGTAGTGACTAAATGCTGCATGAAGCCTGTTTGGTGAGGAGACCTTCCTCTCATCAAAGCCACAGTATATAAGTATTTTCAAATGTAGAAATCTGCTCCAAAATGTGTCTCAGTGTGTAGAGGAGCTGTCGAAGCCTCCTGTGACCCAGACTCACTGAGCAGCACTGGCAGCAGTGCAGAGATATGAGCTTCTAAAGGTTTTGAGTGGGAGAAGTTTATTTCTGCTTGATCAGTAAAATTATTTACATTCTCAGTTATTGTAATTTCACAATGACAAATATCTCAAGAGCTGGACAGGGAGGCTGGGTGGAGCAGGGACAGGGACAGGGAGGCTGGGTGGAGCAGAGACAGGGACAGGGAGGCTGGGTGGAGCAGAGTGGAGCAGGGACAGGGAGGCTGGGTGGAGCAGGGACAGGGACAGGGAGGCTGGGTGGAGCAGAGTGGAGCAGGGACAGGGAGGCTGGGTGGAGCAGGGACAGGGACAGGGAGGCTGGGTGGAGCAGAGTGGAGCAGGGGCAGGGAGGCTGGGTGGAGCAGGGACAGGGGCAGGGGGGCTGGGGGGGGGAGTGAGGCTGGGTGGATCAGAGAGGAGCAGGGTCAGGGAGGCTGGGTGGAGCAGGGACAGGGACAGGGAGGCTGGGTGGAGCAGAGTGGAGCAGAGATGGGGGAGTCACTTTAATACATGAAACTAACTTTTCCATCATGTTTTCCACTTTCACACTCTTCCTGGAGAATCAGGTGTTTATCTCCACAAACCAACATCTTAATTCACACATGTGGATGGAAACATGCACTTATTTGCATTTTGTTTGGTTAGTTAAAAAAAATCAGGTTAAGCTTTACACTACAACTGATTACATGAAGTTACTGACTTCAAACAGTAAATTACAAAAAAAGTAATCAATTATAATGACATTGTTGTGTTTACATGGAGTAAATGACAGTATAACTGGCTGCGGACACAGAGGATTATTACTTTACTGAGCTGGTGACTCAGACCAGAGGAAACCCCAGCACCAACCCATCACTTACCCCTGTCAGGAGATAAGTGTCCTGAGCGCTGGGCTCTAATGTCCACTTGGCTCTTCCTCTGTGACTCATTGTACGTGTTAACAAGCAGTGGAAGTGACGCACTGACTTAGCATGCAGGATGCCATCAGGCTCGATCATCCTGTGTGAATTCAGACCCCCGCCTTCATTATGTGGGCACTGCCACTTCCTATGTACCAGCTGTAATCAGGGCTCCAGCTATTTCCATTATCTGTCAGTTATTTTCAGATTTTTAAACATATTCATAATAAATGGCATGTTTAAGCCACCGGTTTACATGTGACCTCTGTATCCTGAAGAATAATCAGGCTAAAGAACCGTGTGTCATTGAAAACAGAGTGAGTGTGTTCTCAGTGTTTGGTGCTAGAGATGGTGCAAAGTGACTGGGGGGGGCTGAACCTCATGTTTTACTTGTTAGAACAAAACAAGAGTCTCTCTGGTGTTATTTCTTTGGATCGTGTGGAAAATAAAAGTAGGGATTTTCACTCTTGTCTGTCGAGAGTAGACGAGGAAACAAAGTTCACATGGATGGGTCAAAATGTCAGACAGCAGCACAGCTGGTGTTGTTTCCTACTGGCCGCCCACACTTGTTTCAGTTTTACCGTGGCCACAATCATTTCATAACTTTAACAAAGTGTGTAGTGTAGCCCTGATGACAAACCCCTAACACCAACAGAGGACTCACTGTGGTTCTCTGAAACTAACCGAACCCGAGCCAAAGCATTGTCACGTTGTAAAATATATTTTCTTTCAGCAGTATTTTGTGTTGCCCTGTTGATGGGGGGGGGTCAGAGGTACTCAGATCCTTTACTGAAGTAAAAGTACCAGTACTACAATTTCAAAATACTCCATCACAAGTAAAGGTCCTGCCTTCAAGATCCAAAGTATTACCAGCTTCATGTTGTTAAAGTATCAAAAGTCAAAATGCCTCGTGTGACTGAGACATTATGACATCAGACACTGTTCACCCTGATGCGCCAGGTGATGATAAAAGTACAGCCACATGTTTGTAAGAGGAGAATCTCCCACCACCCTGTGTCCTAACCCACGTTCTGTGGTTGAGACTGTGAAAAGTCTTTTAGCAAACGAGCGACTGACTGAGGTGTGGTGCAGACATTCGAACCACGGGAGTATCTGATATTTAAAGACAGATTTTCAGTGGAGTGCTCCTTTATTTTCTGTCCAGTCTTCTCTGCTGTCTCCCAGCTGCATCGCCGTCAACTTGTTTTGGTTTCCGGAGACATTTTCCCACCTTGTCTCTGTCATTGCCTCATTTCCTGTGTGTAACAGCATAATTTCCTGTCTCTGTGGAGCACAGTCAGAGAGATAACACAGCCACCATTGTTGTTTCTGCGCCTGCACATCTCACTCTTCTGGGTCCCAGCTTAAAGAGTTTAACCCTCTTGGAAGATTGTCTGAAGATGTTAAAGGTAGAACTGGCGATCCTGGAAAAACCAGCAAGAGGAAGCTCGATTGTGAAAGTAGACAACAAAAGAAATCCCACCCCTTCATTCTGCCTCCTCTCCAAAGCCACTCCTCTAAAACCCAACGCGCTGCCTGACTACTACAGATGTCAGGAAAATAATAAATGCCCCCCCCAAAAAACCAGACCTGTCCAGCAGAAACACGGCCGCCATGACGTCGTTGTTCAGCCCCTTTCGTTCTCAGTTGTCACCATTGTTCAAAAGCCACACTGACGTTAATTCTGGTTTTACTTCTTGAAGCATTCGGCTTCTTTAGAAGTAACTTTCTCAAATACAATCTCTACTTATGACCAAAATGACTCTTATCACCTTTGACCTTGAGCCCAAACAGCTTGTGTTAATCCCAGTTTATGACATTCAGACCATCTCTGGCTCACACTGCTGGAGACATGCTGAAAGTGGCACCAAATAAATGAAGAGCAGTTCCAGTGTTACTTGATTTGTGTGCAGAGGTCACTGTGGTCCCGGGCACCCCCTGAGAACAGAAGAGGTCCGTTTTGGGACATGGTAGGAAAGACCCTCGCCACCTGTCCTGCACAGGAAACAGAGTGGGTTCTGTGGCACCCTGCTCCAGCCTCCGGTCCTGCTCTTGTCCTCACTTCCCTGCTGTCTCCTCCTCAGGTCGCAGCACAAATCTCACCTATTTTTTGCTTCGTTGTCATTGAGCACTGGGGCGAAACTGGCCCGGTACAGTCCTGCCTGTGATTGATTAGTTTGTGTAGCAGCTGTTGGCCTCTGGCAAAGACGTCTCTGTCATGAGAAAGGTGAAAGGTCACAATTCACAGTGTTATTGCATGAATAAGGCACCAATAAATTAGTTAGTGGTTGCAGCTGATACTAAAATGTAGATACAGTGGATGAAAGTAAGAGCATGGGAACACGAGAGAGGAAGAGAGAATTAAATTATACTGGCTAACATCTTTCTATTTGAGGAGCAGAGCTAGAACAGGCACACATTATATCAGAGCCCGTTATAAAGCCCTGTAGTGTGGGTGTGATTGAACTCCCCTCCCTTATTTTGTACTTCTGTACTTTTATTTTGTACGTCTTGTTCTTATTTTGTACTCCCACACAGAGCAGCGATGGTATTAATGAGTGAAACTACCATTTTTATTGAGCAGTACATTACAGTCAGGGCTGTCATATATCGTGTCCCTTCTCCTGTTTGGCTCTTTAATAAGGTGAAAGCGTTTTCACCTTTTCCCCCAAACTTTGCTTCTTGTTTCCCTGTACTGGTCGGCACCCAGTATTTACAAAATGCTTCCTCTTTATTTCTCCCTCCTTGTTCCCCTTGTCCGGTTTTCTTCAAGTTACATACCAGTAGGACCAGTAGGACCAGTAGGAGTTTTTTACTGGTGCATGAAACTTGCACTTTAAATGCTATGTTATAAAGTGTTGCAGAAAACATGATGCACAGAAATGTGATTTCTGGTGCCAGCAGCAGGTAACTGTTCTGAGTGGCATCGCACACAGAGCCAGACAATAGTGCATTGTTGTCGAGGTTTTCCTTAAAACACAGAGTTCCTACCAGGATGTCTAAATTCAGATGGCAGGGTATGATGTATGATTGGGGTGGGGGGGGGTTGTTGCTGCTTAAAGTGGATCCTCCCCAACGCCACAGGGTAATGAACGCAGTGATCTTGAACCTGAAGCATTTTCTTCTCACCTCTCTCAGGTCAGCAGAGGCACCATGGCTGCAGCGAGTAGGAGACTGAAGGTGAGTCGTGCTCACACCCACAGCAGTCAGATCCACACCTGTGTGCACTTCACAGGTGTCACCTGTTGCCCTAACCGAGTCTACACATTTATCTAACGTTGTCTTTACAGAATATTCAGTAGAGCAGTGTAAAGATGTGATGTGCTACTGCCATCCCCTGGCGTTTCACACGAACTACATGCACTTCTTCACACAATAACACGCCTCACAATCAGCACACCAGCCTGCACGCATGACCACACAGACTCCGGCCGCAGCGAAAAAACGATAGCTATGGTGACCGCTTGTGATTTAGATTGATTTCTGCACATATTAGAGCGTGTGCTGGACCCATCTTCCTGCTGTGGCCGTGAAATATTGTCCAGGCTTTATTAAAGGGACCGGGAGAGCCGCCCCAGACCCGCCTCTCTCATTCACTTTGGACGCATTTTCCACTAAGTGTCCATGATGACGACCAACAGCAGGTACAAGAGCCGTGCGCCCCGGTCAGGTAAGTGCCTACAGGTAATTAATAAGCTGGCGCGCGTCACAGTTGGGTGATTAATTAAGTATCTATCAAAAACAAATCCACATTGTGTTTTTCCCCTGATATTCTCCTGTTGGAATCTGTCATCTGCTTCCCAAACGCCTCCTGGAATTTGTCTTCAGATGATGGAGAGGTAAGAGATACGCAGCAGACAGAGGGCTGCGTACAGTCTGTGTGTGACGATGACCGTCGTGGCACCTGCACGAATCACAGTCATCCATTTGTTTTTGTCGCTGAACAGCTGTGACCACTGCCGGTGGTGACCCTGGTCAGCCATGTCAAGCCTCGACCTTTGTCTTTGCTGTCAGTGTGGAGCTGGGAGGACGCATCATGCCATGCACACTCACATATTTTACCATGTCAGTATCCTGGTCATTTAACTTTACCATCCACGCAGACAGCCCCTCTTCATGCGCACGTATTCCTATCCGTTTCCTTCTGTTTGTAGCATCTGTGCACATCTGCAAACGATCCTGTAGCTGAAGCAGTAGATTGACAGAAAATTAGTTTGCAGATAGTCTGAGAACTGATTATTTGCTTCAGTCGCTTTTCAGCAAAACACCCAGTGATTCCGGCTCAAATGCTTTTATTGGCAGTGTGATAGCAGGGCTGCAGCTCATTGTCCATAGTGTTTAATCTGTTGTTGTCATTTCTTTTGCCTACTGTACATGTCAGGAAATAGTGAACAGCCCAAAGTGGCCTGTTGAATTTCATGCAGCTGTCACTGAGTTTATGAGGATATAAACCAGAAATTAATTAATGAATAATTGTTTCACTATATGTGTGTGATAGCAAACTGGTGTTATTTTTGGATTGTGGGTTGGACATAAAATCACAGCTCATGTGCAGCTCTGCTGATAATAAGACAACACAGAGACAAATTCTCACACTGGAGAAGCTACAGCCAGAGAATATCTGGGTTGTTTTGCTGAGAAAATGAAACAATGATCAATTAGTTTATAAGATAAAGTTTTCCAGTTCATTCTGCCTTGATGCAGTCACACAGTGTGATGACTCTTTAGCTTTAAAGCTACTTAAAGTCTGAATGTTTAGTGGGTGGCGTGCACTGTGCACTTAGATTAAATGCATGAATCCAATTACATATTCAGAGTGAACAATAAGAGAAAGCATATGGCTGTGAAAACTGGCTGACTTTTTAAATCATTCATTTTCATCCTGGAGATCTGGAACATCAGAGAACACGACGTTTCTGATGCAGCATCTCTTCACTGCTTCACTCTGAACGTGTTTATTTTCAGATTTAAATCCCTACAATCCCCTGAGCAGTTTTGTTATTTTGCACCTTCACCCTGCTTCCCAGTTCTGTGTTTTCCTGTCGTGTTGGACGAGCCTGAGTCAGAGCGGAGGACACAGACGCAGCATGGTGTTGCCCAGCAGTCTAGTTCGGTGTATTTTGTGAGAAGTGTGTGGGTGTAACATGCAAACGCATCCACAGACAAATCATCAATATGGAAGCAATACTGGAAATGAAGTGAAGCAGCGCACACACATAGAACACCCCCACATCTCCTTAGTCCCTCCCTAAACAGTCAGGCTGATACGCTCCACATTAAGTCTGGTTCTAAAGGCTTGATGTAATCTCAAGTCCTTTGTTGAGGCAACTCAGTGCAGTGCTTTGTAAGACGCCCCCAACCTGCAGATTCTCTGCTGGACCTTTTCTTCCTCCTCTTTCCATGTGTTCAGATGCACATTTATGCCTCTACGCTGTTGCATCCACTGTCCTCCCTCCCCACCCCACCCCCTCTCCTCGTGTCAGTGGCTGCCTGCCCTGCTGTACGATGAGGACCTAGGGAACCTCAGGGCCTGCTCTCGGTCTGGCCATCAGGATGTATCACTGCTGCTGTGCCCTGCCACTGCAACTGATGTCATGGTTGTTTGTTTTTGTGACTGTCTAGGAAAAAGAGTACGTTGGTTTTGCGACGCTGCCCAACCAGGTGCACAGGAAGTCAGTGAAGAAAGGATTTGACTTCACTCTCATGGTGGCAGGTGGGAGATGGCATCACCTCTTCTGGGTTTTTAGTCTGAATGTGAAGGTCCAAAGTGCTGAGATGGCGTTGATAGCATCTCTCCGTGCACACCGCTCTGGCATGGGTACAGATCCAAAGCTGTCTTTGCACAGGAACAATCAGTTCAGAGCAGGATGTCCTTCTTTCGAGGCAGCTTTACCATCACACCATCGTGTGTGCTGTGAAAATGTCTTGCTCTGTTCAAGTCTGAATGCTGAGGAGGAAAATGAGTCGCAAAGGCGTCCTCAAAATATTTCATTACACCTTAAATCTGTTCATTAAATATTCATGAGCATCACAAGAGACAAACATCAGGAGATTAAAATAGACTGAATAATAAACCAGTTTGCTCCTTCATTGGTGCCCATTATGACGAGAGCCGGACTGGTTTTGCTTTTGTGACCTTCATTTTTCTGATCCAAGCGTCAGCTGAACAGTCCAGGGGTTCATGTTCAGACCTGCATCCCCAGTAATGTTGGTGGCATATGGTGTTTCTATCAAGTCTGGAAAGCAAAAGCCATCAGTGTGAAATCTGAGCCAAATTAAATTAGAGGCTGGCAGTTTGGATTAGCTTTCACACATCCTGGATGTGTCCGGGCATCAGTGGAGTGTCCTACATTTTACTTCTCTGTGTCTATTTCCAGTTTTATTTATTACTTTTAACTCAGTATTTTAGCTGTTTATTAGGTCTGTTCCATCTACATATCAGTCAACAGTTTTTCATTAACATCACCTGTTACTTTTATTTATTGTACATTTACATGTGACTGTTTATTTTTGGCCTTAACACAAAATCTAAATACAGTTTCTATTTTTGTTGAAGCCAGTTGAGCTACTTACTTGAGCTTTCCAAGTACTTTACAGCCTCACATTCAAACGAACCTGGTTGAGAATTTACCTTTTGTACAGTAGCTTTGTCACGAGATCCTGGTCAGAGAGTAGAACTACGTGTATGTTTCAGGTGAGTCCGGCCTGGGTAAATCCACCTTGGTGAACAGCCTGTTCTTCACTGACCTGAACAAAGACAGAAAGCTACTCAATGCTGAAGGTGAGTCACGTGTCAGCCAGACGTCTGCTCACACCTCAGACTGCAGCCGCCTCCTTAAACACCTGTGTGTCACTTCAGAGCGAATCAACCGGACGGTGGAGATCACAAAGCACACAGTGGACATCGAGGAGAAGGGGGTGAAGCTCAGGTTGACTATCGTTGACACCCCGGGCTTCGGAGATGCTGTCAACAACACTGAGTGGTGAGTGTTCGCTTGGTGCCCTGTCCAGTCGGCTTTAAGCTGCAGTTCTACTGTTCAGCATGAAAATGAAAGCAACACTGGCCCACCGTGTTCATACTGACTCTCTCTGCAGGCCAGCTTCTCTGACTACAGTAGAACCAAAGAGGATGCATGCTCGCCAGCCACTTTATTAGGTACACTTCAATGCAACACTTCTGCCTTCTGTGTTTATGGTGTTGTGCTGGACTACATTATATTCAGGTGTCTCTATATGTCTGTCCTCTCTGGCTACAGACATGACAGGGTCAGAATAAACACGTTGAGCTTCAGAAACACAGATGTTAAGGTGGAAGAGTTGCACTGAAGTGCGAGCAGTGTATTTGTCAGTGTGGACAAATCAACAGTGTTTGTCTTTTAAAGCTTCCTGCTTCCCCGCCCTGTTTGTAGCTCTCAGCTCTACGTCCATTAGACGTAAATCTTTAAAAATACTTTTTGTCTGACACAATAGGACAACCTGCCAGATGTTTTCTTAAAGCTGGAATCGTTCACTCTTCTATGATGCATATCCTAAAGCATTGTGTGCTTTTTGTTTGATCTGCCTGGTCAGTCCTATTTGATGTTTGTTTGCCTGGAGCGACAGTGCTGATGTGATTAGGACGTTAATTACATTTCACACTATCTGCTAAGCAGGCAGGGGCCTGTCTGAGCTGTCACTGCTCTGCTGTAGTTCTCCTGCTAGTTTCTTTTTTAAATCGCTTTGCAACTTGTTCCTTTGTTGTTGGGCAGTACTTTACATTACCTGGGGGAAGGATTTATTTATTGATTTATTGATCCTGCAGTAAATTTAAATAAATTAGATGGATTGGTGTCATGAACATGGCTTCAGTCTGGGCTATGATGAAAATACATAGGTTACATGTGTTTCAGCGACACATTCACCTGTGTTGTATAAGCTCACAGTGGGTTTTTAATTTACTAAACTTGTCAGATGAACATAGTGGAGTGTATAGTCAGCTGTTTCCCTCTGAAATGTAGTAGAAGAAGAAACATACATAAACAAAATGCTGAACCATTCCTCTAAAGGGATTGTAGTATAGACATTAACCACTAACAGGCTGCTGTTGTCTTCCAGCTGGAGGCCCGTCACAGACTACATCGATCAACAGTTTGAACAGTACTTCAGAGACGAGAGCGGACTCAACAGGAAGAACATCCAGGACAGCAGAGTGCACTGCTGCCTCTACTTCATACCCCCATTTGGACACGGGTATTACAAACACTGCCAGATGTACACATATGTACGTGCATTTATCAGAGTGCTCAGTAAAGTCCCCGTGCTCCTGTAGGCTTCGTCCGGTTGACATCGAGTTCATGAAGGCCCTGCAGGACAAAGTCAACGTGGTTCCTCTCGTCGCGAAGGCGGACTGCCTCACTCCCACGGAGATTAGGAAGCTCAAAGATCGGGTAAGACCACACATGAACTAAAGTGATGTTTATCTGTGCATCCATCATCCATGGTCATCAGATTTTAGAACTAAACCCAAATTATGGGATGTGATGTATAATAACATGTTTCATTGCAGCAGTGACAGCTTTTAAAAGCTGAATCTATGCACTGAGCTTCCTGTCTGTGCAGCATGTCCCTCTGCTGCTGGACGTTCAGTGGTTTACTCTGCACTGGAATGAACCTGCCTGTGCAGAAATAACGTGGATGTCTGGCTGAAAGCAGGCACATTCTGACATTCTGCTGTTAAACAGCATGAGAAACGGGCTCGTTTGCTTTCTCTGTGGCTGTCAGATGAAGAGATGATTATCAGTCTCATGTCGGTGGTAATTACAGAGCTGAACGAGCAGGTGGTCAGCCTAGCTTAGCAGACAATCAGGAGGGAAACAGCCTGGTTCTCCCCACAAACCCAGCTATGTCTACTCTACCTGCCAACGCCAACACGTTGGATCTCATTTATTTAACCCATATACTGTATGAGCAGAAATGTGACTCCAGCCAAGGTTGTGTGTACTTTTTCTTGCATGACAGTTGAGCCGTCCATTCAGTGCACCTACCAGGCAACATCACAGTGATGAGCAGCCTGTGAGAAGCCGCTCCACCTGCTCAGCCTTGTTCCACACCTCTGAATCCCTGCCCACGTCTCTGATATGTTCAGCTATTTCATTTGTCTGCAAAAATATGTGATGAGATAGATGCAGCTGTACTAGTTGTTCTAGGTTTGTCAGTGTTGAGCTAAGCTGACACAAGAGTTTCTGGCCTCTCATCTCACCTTCAACAAGACGGTGAATAAACACAAAATGTTGAACTGTTCCTTTAAAATGATACTGTAAAGGAGGCTCATCTGTAGGTTTATGGATGAAGTCACACCACAAATGTTGTTCTCAGCTTCTGCTCAGGATTTTTTCCACAAAACAAAAAATTAGTTGAATAAGAAACAATTGAAAATGAAGATTATAAAGTGGTGATTGTCCAGTAAACACACGAGCTGATCTCAAGCGGAACAGCACTGAGACCCACAGATACATTGAGTTTCATCTCGGTTTAGTGGTGGATGACTCAGATCTTCCTCCACCGAGATTTGATCTGGGTTTAGTTTTAAAGCTTTCACATAAGGCTGTGTGTGTATGTGTGTGTTTTCCATCACGTCTCTCTGTGCTTTGTCCAGCTGAGGGAAGAGATCGAAAAGAATGGGATAAAGATCTACCAGTTCCCTGACTGTGACTCTGACGAGGACGAGGACATCAAGCAGCAGGATAAAGAGCTGAAGGTTTGCTCTGTGTCTGATGTGCAGGCCGTCGCTTTTTTCACATTTAAGTACAGTTTTAAGGATTTTTTAAAACTTTACTCGAGTATTACAATTACAATTGTACTTCTGCTGCACTACCTGTGTGTGTGTGTGTGAGTGGGAGGGGGGCAGACAGCAACAGACAGCTGCCAACAGCTCTGGATACCATTCACTGCATCAGATATAATAATCAAAACATATGATATACATAATATTATGTTATATCTTCATAATGAGTCTGATATGTTTTGTATATTTTGATAGTATTTGTGTACGTTTAGCTAAAATTACAAATGCAGGAGTTTAAAGTACAGTAGTACTTTCACAGTGTTAATACTACCTTAACCTTAAGGGGTTTTCCTGTTGAAGGGTTTCCTTATCTGGTTCGAGGGTCTAAGGGTGGAGGGAGTCGTATGATGCACAGACTGTAAAACCCACTGAAGTAAATTTGTGATATTGGCCTATACAAATAACATTTGACTTGACTTGAATGCTTCCTTTGTGTGTGTGTGTGTGTGTGTGTGTGCGCTGTAGGAGAGCACCCCGTTCGCAGTGATCGGCAGCAATACCGTGGTCGAAGCCCGAGGTCAGAGGGTGAGAGGGAGGCTCTACCCCTGGGGCGTTGTGGAGGGTGAGAAACTCTGTAGCGGGTTTGACATTTCATGGCAGCGCTAATGATCAGTAATGAGATGTTCATGTCGCCCGTGTGCAGTGGAGAACCCGTCCCACTGTGACTTTGTGAAGCTGAGGACCATGCTGATCAGAACCCACATGCACGACCTAAAGGATACCACCAGCGACTGTCACTACGAGAGCTACAGAACTCAGTGCATCCAGAACATGACCAGGTGCGTGTCTGTGTTTACATTGGGAACGTGACCGGGTGTGTGTCTGTGTTTACATTGGGAACGTGACCGGGGGCCTATTTCAAGAAGGCGGTTCAACAAACTCAGAGTTCAGACCTGAACTCTGAGTTGACTTACTCAGAGTTGGAAAACTCAGAGTTTTCGGTTTCAGAACAGCTGAAAAGAGTTGGTTTAATCAACTCTGAGTTGTCTGACTCAGAGTTAGGCGCGTGCCACGCGACTATAAAAAGCCCTGAACAATGGAGTGAAGAAATTACGAGTCACCATGGCAACAGGACCAAGCCAAAATAGGTCTGC